CTCCATGGCCATCCTGCTCAATTTTTGAAAAATCGAGGAGCTGCTAGTGTTTTGTCTGGGGGAGCCCTGGTGGCACGGCGGGTGGCACGTCAGGCTGCTCACCGCCAGGCCAGAAGTTCAAAGCCACCCAGCCGCTCCACGGGAACAAGATGAGGCTTCCCTCTCCCATAGAGCTGGTCTCCAAAACTCCCAGGGGCAGTTCTCCTGAGACTGAATGGGCTCAGTGATAGTGCGTGCGTGCATGCGTGTCTTGTGAATTGGGCGAAAGTTTCCTGAGTAGATGAGACTTCCCTTCCACAGCAAAGACACGTTTTATTCCCGGCCGTTCGTGGCAGCTCCCCCATGTGGCAGCCCTCATCCATCCCACTCCTCCCTGTGTTTCCGGCCTCCATCCCTCCTTCTTTCCCAAGACCGCTGGACTTGGCCTGGCGTCAGCACTGTCCTTTGGGTCTTCAGGTGTGTGTGCCTGCTCGTGGCATCGTTCCCCCTCATGGGCCTGTCTATTGTTCGGCTGAAGACCAATCCCTGGGGTGGGCGCATTCCCAATCCCGAAGGGTGATGTATTAGTCTAGGTACTTTGGAGAAACAAATCCACAGCAACTCATGTATGCGAGTTTTATGTAAAGAAAATGTGCATCACGAAAACATCCCAACCCAATGCTGCCCCAGCCCACAAGTCCAACATTAACCCATCAACCCAACACCAGTCCACAAAGTCCTCCACCTCACAACACAGAGGCAATGATGCCGACTGCAGGAGGAAAGCTGAGTCAGTGAATGAACAAGCATCTCAGCACTAGCAGGGGTCTCCACACGGCTGCTCCAGCACCCAGGGCTGCATCGGGATACGTCCATGTAGCTTCTCCTTGGGGATGCCTTGTAGGAAGTCAATCTTGCAAGCTGAAGCAGGGAACTGCTAAGGCAGCTGCACCCAGTGCAACCATCACAAAACAAGAGACCCGAGAACTAGAAAGGCGAGGCTCACCGCCCATTTATCCCTCCGCCTTTCAATTAGCCCCACATGTGATTATCGGCCAGGCTGGCACAATTAACTAACTCAGGTGACAAAGGACCATGATCTCAAGGGTTCCACTGGTCTCTTGCCACGAAGCCTCGTCTCTCGTATGGGTTGGGAGTCTCGTTCCACGTTTTTCTCCCCCTCTATCCAGGGCCTTCTAATGGGGTCCCTTTCAGAGATGGGGAAGCCGGTAGCAGTGGCCAGACACCACGTAGTTCCTCTGGTGTCGGAGTTGTGGACTCTGAGGTCCCCGTGGTCCGGGAGTGTGTGGCACTAGTTGTTTCCAAGCGTCTTTGTCTTCCTAGAGCCACGGGGTGGGCTCGAACCGATAACCTGCTGCAGTTGTTGCTTAGTGCTGTTGAGACCGATCTGACGCACGGTGACCGTGGGTGGGCACAGCACAGTGGAACCCCACCCAGTCCTGTGCCAGCCTCACCTGGTTCGTGTTTGAGCCTGTGGTTACAGCCACTGTGTCCGTCCATCTTGCTGAGGGGCTTCCTCTTTGCTGCTGTCTCTCTACTTTACCACGCAGGATGTCCCTTGCCAGGAGTCCCTGCTAACGTGTCCACAGTGACTGAGAGGAAGTCGCACTATCCTAGCTTCTAAGGAGCCCGTCTGGCTGTCCTTCCTCGGAGACAGGTGTGTTTCTTCTTCCGGCACTCCGTGGGACTTCCAATATTCTCCGCCAACAACATAATTCAAATAGATCGATTCTTCTCCAGCCTCCCCTATTCCTTTCCCAACGTTCACAAGCATAGGAGGAGATGGCACCTTTCTCCTCAAAGGAAGACCCTTGCTCTTCGACACTTTAAAGGGGTCTTGTGAGGGGATTTGCCCAATGCCATACACCCCTTGCTTTCTTGGCAGCTGCGTCCATGCGGGCCGACTGCCAATCCAAGTACAATGAAATCCTTGACCTCTGTCGTCTTTGCTCCATCCGCCATGACGTCACCTCCTGGTCTGGTTGCGAGGGTCTGGGTCTTCTTCACACTGATCTGTGATCCGCCACAAAGGCGGCAGCCCTCGAGCTCCTCTCCTCCCACTTTCAACAAGCAAGGTCGTCCCTCTGCCTCTCGAAGGTTCTCAGTCAGCCTTCTCCGAGCCTGATGCCCAGTCTGTCCCCTAGAATCCGGCTTCTTGGGTGACTCGCCCAGCATACAGATTGAATCAGTATGGTGAAAGGGCATGCCCCTGACACACCCCTTTCCTGCTCGGAAACCAGGCAGTGTTTCCAGAACAAGGGGCCGGCACATGGCCGGTTGATTGCTGAGCACACGTTGCCTTGTTGTCTGGGTCCTCCGAGGGCCACCGTGGAGTTGGTGTGCTGACTCATTCGAAGACCCCCAAATGGGGATCTCCTGTCCCCCTACAATGAGAACAGAGAGGGTGGCTAGCAGGCTGCTCATAAGCTTACGTTTCAAGTGAGTTAAAATCACCCGATGCTGAGACCGGGTTTTCCTTTGAGTGATCTCAAAAAGAAATGTGCTTTTTTTTAAGTGACACGCTGACCATGTCTATTTCTGTGTCCCTCCCCGGCCCTCCCCACCCCATCCCATCCCTTCCCTTTTGGAGGTTGGTTAGTTTGAATGATCTGACTGGGGAAAATGAAAACGTGGCGTCTCGTGTCAATCCACGGTGGGTGCTGGCGGTGGTGGTTGATGTTTTCCTGGTCCGTGGTCTCCGGGAGTCTGGGAACCGTGCTGTGAAAGGAAGGGACGTAGGGAAAACACTCAACGCAGCGGCCGAGGCAGAGACGGTGCCTGGACGCGGACGCTCTCTTGATCGGGATGAAGATGCTGATGGCGGTGGGGTAGGATGGCCGTGGTGACGAGGGTCCTGGCACAGGGATGATGTTCGTGAGGGTGGGCCAGGTGGCAGCCCCTCTGCCAGAAATGGTATTTTAAAACCTGGCAAGACCAGGGACGTCAGTGGCTCGCTCTCTCCCAGGCGGGGTACACCAACCAAGGTGCAAGTACCCGTCAGCTAGTCCACTGAGTCAGCCAGCCTAGGACACTGGGGAATCTAGGAGGACCACCCTGGGGTCCTTTGTCCCTCTGAAGGCCCTGCTGGACCCCTGACCGGGGAGGGGAAAAGGGGTCACATCGGCATGCCAGGGAGACAGGCCCCTGGTCCCCAGCCCCTTCTATGCCGAAGAGCACCATGCAGAGAACACTGATGAGCTGCTAGCCGAAAGGTCACTGGTTCAAACCCACCCTTTGGCCTCGTTGGGAGAAGGACCTGGTGAGATGACAGCCTGAGACACCCAGCAGGGCAGCTCTCCTGGGTCACATGGGGTCGCTGTGAGTCAGAATCGACAACAGCTCGGCACACCGCAGCCACAGCAGTGTCCTGACCTGGTCCTGATGTCAGAGGCCCCTCTCCTGACCCTGCAGGGCCCCCCCCCCAGCCCCTGCCCTGCCTCCAGCATCCCTGTTCTGCTCTCCAGCTGCCTGCTCCCCCACCCCTCCTACCCCTCTGCTGCTCCCTTGGTGCTTCGGGAACCACTTCCAAGCCCTGTGTCCTGACCCGAGAGCCCACACCCACAGCCAGTCCACACTCCAGGCCCCGCAAGCTCCACCTGTTCCTATCACGGGAGGGTGACAGGCTGTCTGAAATGCAGAGGAGGGGCAGATGCTGAGCATTTGGGGAACCACATCAACATCCAATGTCCCTGCCTATGTCACCTCCATCCATCTCAATTAATACAGCAAAAAGCCCGTGCCCGGTCACAATCAGCCATGTGGCCCCACGATTCTCAGTGGTGTGAATCTTGGGCAGGGAGGACAGCAGTGTCCAGCAGACCAGACAGGTCCCAGGGAGGCCTGATCACTGGGAGGGTCAAGGGCTCGCCCACTGCCTTCCCCTCCCAGGGCAGCTGAGCCCAGGCCAGGCCTTGTGGCCTCTGGGAGCAAGCCTTCCATTGAAAGGGGCCTTTGTGACAAGCCAGGATGAACTCCCAACTAGGGGGAAGGGTGGGATGAAATATAAACACACGTGGCTTATATTCATAGTAAGTGAACTGATTTTTATTAACTGCTGTGCCTGTATAAAACGCTGACATTTACAGGAACCCTGGGGCCGCCTCCAGCCACCTAAATAATGTGGAGAGAAGCACCCGCCAAATAGCATGTGTAGGTAGCAGGGGATCTCTGTGCCTAAGTGTTTCTCAAAAGGGATGGTTACCCTCTTTTTCCATTCAAGGAATGCCTTGTGTTCCTGGGATCCGGGCTGTGGAGTTTTAATTGGGAGCCAATCAAGATTCTAGGTGATCAATAGGGGCCACGCTAGAGTGAGACTGGCATCTCTTCTGTTGAACTGACTTTGCTACCGAACCAAACTCACTGCCATCGAGTCCACACCGACTCACAGCGACCCTGCAGGACAGGGTGGCACTGCCCCTATGGGTTTCCGGGACGGTCACTCTTTATGAGAGTAGAAAGCCCTCTTTCTCCCACTGAGCGGCTGGTGGTTTCCAACTGCCAACCTCTCAGATTACAAACGGGTGACCACTACACCACTGTAACCTATGAATTCTAAAACAAGACACCCGTATGGGACAATTAGCCCTTTGGTGTGCCCAGGGAGTGGTTAAGGTTAAAATCTCTGGATCCCAGAAGAGAAACGTGTAAAAAATGTTATCTGTCAAAGGTTCCCAGGACTTTTTCAAAAGGTTTGATTCATTGTGTGTTAAAGATCTTTAGTCAGCAAAGGCATAGTTCCTACCAACAAAATAAGCATGGAGGTGAGACCTAACAGTTGACTTTTGATTTGAAATATTTCATTTGTTCCTATGAACCTTGTCAATAGAAATACCAAATCAATGATGTTCTTAAAACACACACACACACACACACACACACACAGAGAAATGGTCTTTCTGATGCTCTGTAGCATAACCCGCTGGCCTTCCTCCCGGAAGCGGTGATGAGAGGACCTGTGCCCACCTTTGTCCCTGCTCACGGGCTGTGTCCTCTGCCCCCAGGTACATGATCAGCAGCCTGGACCGCACCCACGCCGGCTTCTACCGTTGCATCGTGCGGAACCGAATGGGCGCGCTACTGCAGCGGCAGACGGAGGTGCAAGTGGCCTGTGAGTACCAGGGTGCCAGCAGGGCGGGCGGGTCTGCAGGCTCCCAGCCATCACCACCCCGGGGCCCCGCATGCCAGGACCAGCAGCCAAGTCCTTCCCCTGTCATCCCAACCCGGAGCCATCTAAGGTCACAGCCCCTTTGAGTGACCCAGGTACCCCCTGGGTCTGTGCTCGGTGTTCTTTACATGAGAGCAGTCCCTTTGTCTCTTAAAGGTGTCAACCTCCTTCCGGCATCCTGCCCTCATCCGGGGGGTTCTTCCTAAAGCTGGCTTGAGTCTCTCTTGCTGCATGCAATACTCTGCCTGGCAACTTCCTGGGGCCCCCATGTCCCCAATGGTCCATCCTCCAGCCAACAGGGCCCTGGAGCAACTGCATCAAGGGGGCCACGGTTTTCCTGGGGTGCTGGGAGACAGAGAGGGAAGGTGATGAGTAGGGGTCCCCATAGAGGCAGGGGGACTGAAATCAAGTGGTAAACCATTGCCAAGTCTGTGGGGTTAACAGCCTCTCCCCAACACCCCCACAAGACTCCCGGTGGAGGAAGGGGTGGGCCGCATCAGAGATTCTCCATAGTGTTACAGGGCCTAGACCCCCGGCCACCAGTCAGCAAATACCCCCTTCCTGGCCTGCTGCTCCCATCCTAAAATACCTCCTGGGTCCAGAAATGGGACTTCTCTTGAGTGGTCCCTTTGTGGGGTTCAACGAGGGGCGTGCTAGGATTCCGTGGTGGGCCTGAGAGTGGGGCAGGCCTTCGTGAACCCTGGAATTTCCAAACCCTGGGGCCCCTTCTTCCAGAGCCCATGCCCTC